ATGCATTTAAAATTCGCGCTCAAACACGTCAATATTTAAAAAATGTTGATTTTTGAACAGATATTTCAAATAATATATTGGGTGAACCGGTTGGAAGATGTGACTTCATCTAGGATTTCATCTCTCAAATTAAATTCCCCGTTCTCAAATATTTAATGCACGGTGAAAAGAATCATTGATGACGTCAAAAGGTTCATCCTGTATACATGGAAACAGAATTACTCATAATTTGAATATGCACCAGACGTTCTATCAGTTTCTATCTTTTTTCAATCAGTTTATACATTTTATTAAGAACCGCACTATAGAGTCACGGGATTATCACAAAAAAGATAACAAAAATATTTAAAATTCCAACAACCTAGAGAAAACAAAAAGGTTCATTCATTACACTTATAGTTCTTTTAAAAAAATGGGGGTTGGAGAAATAAAATGAACAGTTAACTAAACCTCAGAGCCAAATGGCAATTGGATAAAAATGATAAAAATATTCTAGATATACAGCATTCCAACAAGGCAAGAGATGGGACAAAGGTAGGAGAGGAAGGGCTTCAGAAGTGGCAACTGGTTATCATAGTACAATCACAATTTATTTCTATTGACTATGAACCAATCATATTCAGATAAATTATGACTTGAAACTAGTTGATGCCAGCCAATTTTCCACTCAAACCCTATTTACTAGTCTCTTTTCCATTGAATTAAATGACACATCTATTAGCAGAGACGACAACCTTACTGGAAGAAGCTGGCCAATGGGAGAGGAAAGAAGAGTAACTCACGTCTCAGTACTGTACTATCAGAACCTGTCACCCTCCTTTGATATTTATTCCTAATAGGTCGCGTGCACCATGACCATGAAATATTGAAACACAACCTCATTTTTCTGTGAGACATTGAAACACAACCTCACTTTTTTAATTTGTCTACAGAGGAATCAAGGAATTGAAATAGTTTTTAACAATATTTTTGGCATACGAATCGTGTTTTTTGCGCTATTCATTAATTCAAGCATGCCTTCTCATTGTGCTGTTGTACAATACACGAAATGCAGCGAGAGACGAAGGAATATGATTTTTCAGGTAAATAGTAATCTCACATAGTTTTCATTATGAAATTTTGTCATTTCTTGTTACAATTCCTTCTGGCAGTTCTGCAATAGAAGCTAATACTGTTAACAGATTGAAAATGTCTACAACACACACGATCATATTTCGTCAGCATGTCTGGCCAGTCCTACCGTTTGATTGCATGAACCCAATCTTGTTGCATTCGTTTAGAAACGAGTATTTCTATTAGCTCCTATTGCAGAAGGAATTCCGATGAGGAATCAGAGAAATTACCAAAGGACCCCGCGCTAAACTAACTAACTAACTAACGAATTCTTGGTATGTTGCAGACTTTGATATACTGAACAGATATTCCATTGAACTAACCTCAAAAAATGGACAGTTTTTCCGATATTGGCCTCCAAATGTAATTTTCTCGAGCAAAAAAAAAAGTATTTGAAAATGGTTGAATTTATGGCATGTTGTAGATAGAATGAACTAATGAAAAAATCCAATTGACCTAACCTCCAAAAATTGACAGTTTTCTCGATATTGACCTCCAAATGTAATTCGTTCAAGAAAAAAAATCTCTGAAAATTGCTGGATTAAGAAGGTATGTTGTAGATATGAATGAACTGATAAAAAAATCTTATCGACCTATTCGGATTAATAATGTTCATATGGTCTCATCAAATTGTCAAAATACAAGGTACTCTCGATAGAATTAGGAAGAAAATAATAGTCGGCTATTTGTCATGGTCTCGGGATATTACCCACGATTAAATAAAAAAAATATTTGATATTATTTTAAGAAATGAATGAGTGTATCGAATACTTTTATAATAGATGGAATGATCAAAATATAATAGATACATGGCATAAATTCGACTAGTGTGTATACCTACAACCCCATTGACTTCGGAAAGACTATAACCATAATTTAAATAATCTATATTTCATTACATCCTCTCTTCGGCTTCCTTCATCTGTGGATGTATCATATGAAGAAGATTTGTTTTCAGAAGAATGAAATGCCAAATACTAATTCGAAAACAGCAACTTTATCATTTTATTTTCCATACGTACATTTGGAGGTCAATATAAAAAAACTGTCAATTTTTTGAGGTATGGTCAATCGAATTTTTTCATCAGTTCATTCCTATCTACAACATACCATAAATTCATCCATTTTCAGATACTTTTTTTCCTTGAAAAAAAATTCATTCGGAGGTCAATATCGGAGAAACTGTCCATTTTTTGAGGATAGTTCAATGGAATATCTGTTCAGTATATCAAAGTCAGCAACATACCAAGAATTCAGCGATTTTCATCGAGAGCCATTTTCCCTATAGTTTGAGTGCGGGGTCCTTTCAAAATGAAAACTATGTGAGTGACTATAGTAGGTACTTACCTTTAAATCATAATATAATGTACCAACCGGATTCCTTCGTCTCTGGATGCATTTTTTGTGCATTGTACAACAGCACAATGTGATGGCATGCGCGAATTAATGAATAGCCGAAAAACACGATTCGTATGCCAAAATAATTGTGAACAACTATTTCAATCATTTGTAAACAAATAAGAAAAGTGAGGTTGTGTTTCAATGTTTCACCTCTAGGGTCAGTCATCTGACAGTTCTTGCACGCAACCCATAGTCAAATGTATCCGTCTTATACAATGAAAATAGACAGATGCAACTGTCTATGAAACATATGTAACTATGGTAATCTATTTGCGCGAATTTTGAAAAAGACAAATGAATATCTAATTTGAAACTTGAATTAATTCATATGCTTTCATGTTTGAATTATCTCATAGATGGTTCTCATGTTCATGATCTTTCAGAATATGGTGAAAAATTATATTTTAATTCAAGGTTATCTCATATAGGGGGTTTCTCTTCATTTTCAGGAATTATGAAAAAATCTGTGTTCAAAAATTATCACAAAAATTATGGAATTTTGTTATCATGAGAACAATGTTCATTGTTAATCAATTTCATAGAAATGTATGGGCCAGTCATTGGGATGAAAAAAATCAGGTAAAATACTATTCAAAAGGGTTTGACCACACCAAATTTTTTTTCATATTTTTTGAATATGCAGTTTTTTCGATGCTGAAGTTATCCAGTATTCAACTCAAGTAAGGAAGTAGTCAAAAGCCAAAAAACGTCACTATTGTGATAGAAAATGTTGTGTTTGTTGGTTTTACTTGTTATAAATACAGGTCCAGGTACTATAGATAGACCTTAACCCACATAGACATCAATGAATTCTTTGCTTCAGCCATTTTTCATCGAAGTTGACCACACAAACCGGTCAACAATAAGTTGACCAGTCAAGTTTTCTCGACGTGTATTCTAAACTATGACGTAATAGTAAACCAACCACACAAACCAGCTGACTGTGGTAGTTCATGGAATATTTCGGGCTTCTGATTGGTCACTGAATGGAGCTCTTGTTGTTGTTATAATCTGAGGTTATAATTGATGAAGCATAAAAAAATTACCCATTCCAATGAAATTTGGTTTCATAGGAAGTATTTGTGGATGAAAGATCATATACAGGGTGATTCAGGTTTTAAGGTACAAACTGAAATGGATGATAGATCTATTTCATCATTTTAATCAAAAAAGTTTACATAAATATTGGTCCTATCTCGATCAGTGGCGGAGCTTCAAGGGGTGAAAATTTAATTATTTTTTTTTATCAATTGAAATATGTTGCTCACTTCTAGAGATATTAATTTGAAATTGGGTGTGGTCATTACTTTCTAAAAAATCATAATATGAAGCATTCTGAAGATTTTCAAAATCTACATGGTGATACATTTTTTGGGAGTAGAGGCTTCTTTATCTCCCCCAAACTTTTCCATAGTACGCCTTTGATATCTTCCAGTTACCAAATAGGGTGGATCGTTAAATTTAAAGGCTTTTTTGCTCTTCAATTCTTTACCAGAAACTGTTATGGGATGAATAAGCATATCCATTCCATAACATGTTAATTTTGCCCGATTTTACATATGTTTTGGCTTGAATTTTATTTTTGGACAAAGTTCGTTAAGAATGCAATGAAATGTACTAAAACTGCAATGTTTTCAAACATGTGTTAAACCACTGGTTAAGCCCCATTCAGTTGTATCTAATATCTTTTCAATATCATTAAAGAATTGAAGAAAAATATAACATACAAGCTGTTGGGAAAAATGTATGGTCCACAAAGAACATTAGGTAATAAATAATCAAGCCACATGTGAATTTATTGTAATTTACCACCATACATCTGGTAAATTTGGCTGTATCAGTCCACAATACATATATTTTGTATTATTCGTCATTGTCAATATTGTTAACGAATTTTGTCCAAGAATAAAACTCAATAAGCAAAAAAATTAGATGAAATTCACATAATTTTAGAACGAATATGCTTATTTATCTCGAAAACGGTTTATTTCTCGGAAAAAATGAGAGGTTAAAAAGTATCCAAATTGAACGATCCATTCTATTTGGTATAAAGTATAACCCTATAATTCTGAAACCTTTAAAATGCTTAAAATTATGATTTTCCGGGAAGTATTAACTACTCCAAGTTTCAATTAATAGAAAATAATAATTGAAATTTGACCCTCTGTAGCTCCGTTACCGATCGAGATCGGACTCATTTTTGTATGAACTTTTCTTATTTTAAAATGATGAGATCTATCTCCCATTTCAGTTTGTACTTTAAAACCTGCCTGTACATCATATTGTGGAAAAAGAAATAATTGATTTATTGAAAATACGTGAATAGAGTTGATCGAATTTCCTTGAATTAGAAGTAGGTAGGTCAGTACCTTACATCTATCCATACCAATTCATAGTATCTTTTTGTAACAAATGATGAATTTCTCATTAATTTATTATGACTACTAACAGGGAAATTACCAATGAATAAATAGCAACAGCTGAGCAACTGACATCTGTCAAGCTCCACCAGTAAACCGTGACGTCAATTAACGTTTGCCTAGTTAGGTTTGAGTTTGAGGAAAGGTTCCTTTCATTTCCGCAAGGTGACGCTACAGAAACCTACACTGTAAATTGAACTACCATTTCTGTTCACCATCCCTCTCCTACCTTTGATCTACCTGGTTTACATCATATTGTGCTCCTCGAAAATTTCCTGAATTTCCATGCGCAAATCTTTGCGCCTAGCTATATCCAGAGCGTTGCACAATTTCCATTTGCTGTTACCGTTCTTTTGTTCGTGGAATCTCAGGACCTCCTGGACCCTATCGGATATCCTGGGGTACCTCTCTTCCAACAAATCGATCTCGCCCTCGCGAACGCCAATGGCTCTCGCTAGGTCCTTCCACTTTTTGCCGATGTCTGAGCAAATGAGGTCCTTTACTCTGACAAGCGGATCGGAGTCCAGGAGGGGTATCACTGAAAGAAAAAATATGCTTCATGGTATAAGTATCCCAAAAATCTCTATAGAGGGTGTTTCAGAGTTGTAGTGACAAAAGCTTGAGGAACAAAATATTAAAAAACGTTCATAGATAGATAGATAATGTTGAACTGGATGGAGAAGAACAAGTGAGGTACGTAGTTTTTGAAAGGTATCAGATTAGTATAGATGTAGTTTTCATTAGGTATTAGATTAGTATAGGGGTCAGATAATGTATACGACGCTATAAAAGCAGATGATATTTTATCATTGCTCATGTGAGATGGAAGTAGAGGCCATGGCACTATATCATGAGCATATTTTTATATTGAAACTATCATTGGGCACCAAAGATTTGTATACGACGCTATGAAAGTTCAGAGAACTGGAGATTTTTCCCACAAACTACGTACTTAGCCCACTCGACTGTCTTGGTTTTTCCACACAAACTACGTACCTAGCCCACTCGACTGCCAATAGTTCTCTATTGGCAAGTGATTATCTAGGAACTTGTAAATTTTTTAGTTTTTTCATCGTATCTCCCGAACTATTGAATTCAGAGAAAAATGTTATGAGGATTTTTTGTAGATTCTATCAAAAGGAATAATTTTGGTATTATTACATTCTCAGATATTTCCAGTTGTTTTCGAGATATTTGGAATCTAATAAAATTTTCAACACTTTTGTTCCATCTTCCAATCAACAAAAGGAAAAAATATTTCATGGTTCCGTGGAAGTCGATGATCTTCATCTATCGATGATCTTTTGTTTTTCAATACATCTTCATGGCACCCTATGGGTCGTTCAATTTTTTTTTCATATTTTTTACTTTATTTCCTGTATTATTGGGTTTACAGAAAAAAATTTGGGTAATTATTTGTAGGAAATGTTCCAGTGGATGACTTTGCACTTTTGATAATTTTCGTTTTTTCCATTTGTTTTCGATATATATTGAATTGAAAGGATTTCAAATTTTGATGTTTTGATTTTCATTTGTTTTTCCATTTTCCGATGGATGCACGAAAAAATGGTCAAATAATAATTTGTTGCGTCATCAAAGAGGCATACGGTGCATTTTTCAAATTTGGATTTAGTCTATTGGTTCAGAAGATATGTCGTTTTAAAGCGAACCGTGTGTTTTGGAAAATCTCCTTGAAAAACCCACTTGGAATTTCCCAACCCTGCTCAATTTCAATAGGCTTCGTCTCTCTTTTTTTCACAAAAAATGAAATCGATCGGACCACTTTTGCGATTTGTAGAGTGGTCACAAGAAACTTATGGTGAAAAATCGAAAAAACCCGGAAAAACCACCTTAGAGTTTTCCGATTTCCTTCATATTTTAATGACATAATATTGTTTTGAGTACAATAAGATGGCAAAATTTCAAGTCGATAAGTCGAAGGGTTCCGGAGATATATCGATTTATGATTAACACAGAGTACAGACAGACAGACAGACAGACAGACAGACAGACAGACAGACAGACAGACCACACACAAAAACCAAAGTTGCTCAAAATTCGATAGGGATCATTTTCTCCAAAGTAACTATACCTCTATCTCGCTTAGTTTCCGAGATAGCATTTTTGGCAAGGCCGTAGTATACTCCACTATGTATAGCGTCGTATAACAAGCTTCAATTAGCCCCACAGAAGACCGAAGCAGTACTGCTCACAACCAAGAGAAAAATATCTCCGATTCACTTCAACATTCAAGGGAGTGTGGTTGATATCAGTACAGCGATAAAATACCTTGGTGTATGGTTGGACGCTAAACTGACATTCGCGCAGCATATAAGGAAGACCATCGACAAAAACTGATAAGACCGTAGCGGCCCTAAGTAGTCTGATGCCGAATGTTGGGGGCCCTAAAGCATCAAAGAGGCGTATCCTTGCCAGTGTGGTCCACTCTCAACTGTTCTAGGCCGCACCAGCGTGGCACACTGTCACAAGAAATAAGAAGCTTACTCAAAGACTAGCAGAGTACAACGGCAAATTTGTCTACGGGTTTGCAGTGCGTACAGAACTGTATCGACAGAAGGCGTGAGTATTATTGCTGAAATTCCCCTAATAGAAATTCAAATTGGAGAGAGACTTGCAAAATACAATGGAATGACCATGGCAACTGCCAATGAAAACCTCATGGCCCGATGGCAGGACAAGTGAAACCAAGGAAGGTATGGATGCTGGACCTGGAGTCTAATAACCGACATTAAAAGATGGCTCGACAGACCATACGAAGAAGTCGATTACTATCTCACCCAAACATTATCTGTCCACAGGTGTTTTAAGAAATACCAAGAATCACTATTGGTTGGACTAAATGTCGAATACTGGAACGAAAACCGGATATGAAATGTTTCAGATGCTGGGAGTTCAGCCATACGAAAACAGAATGCCGGGGTCCTGACAGGGAGCACTTATGTTTGAAGTGCGGTAAAGACGGGCACAAGGCAGCAGCCTGTGGAAACAGTGCATATTGCATACACTGTAAGATAGAAGGCCACCAGTCTGGTAGCATGAAGTGTCCTGTGAAGAATCAGGGAAGGCATCTGGAGGCACCTCGACTGACTGCCACTCATAATAATTAGTACAAAATTTCTCCAAATTAACACGTTTAGGAGTAGATCGTGCCACCATATTACCCTTGCCACGGCTAAAGAACTAGGAGTAGGAATGATTCTCATGAGTGAACCTAATAAAAATGCTCTCAGAAACAGAAGGGACTTTCTATGCGATGAAGATCTAGACACCGCCATTAAAGTGATGGATAATAAAGCCACTAACGATGTGGAAAGGGACACAGTTTCACTTCCATAGCTGCACCAGGTCTGACTGTGTATAACTGTTATGCCTCCGGAAACAAGGATTTAGAAGACCTCAAACAAATTCTGTATAAAATTGGAAGAGAAATGCGACAGCAAAATGACGGAGTTATTATAGTTGGGGATTTCAATGCGAAGTCTGCTCAATGGGGGCTTGAAGTATCGGACCGGAAAGGACAAGTCATTACAGATAGGATCGCAGAGAATGACCTAGTGATAATCAATGAAGGAAATAAACCAACTTTCCAGAGGCGTGAATATACATCTGTACTGGACCTAACAATAGCCACCACTAATGTTGTGAACAGAATTAGGAAGTGGGAAGTCAGTGACCTCAAATCTCTCAGCGACCACAACCTTATAATCTTTAAAGGGTAATCAAGAATGAAGGTTGGCACGTCAGAAAACTTGACAGGCAGAAGCTCCAACATTCTCTCGAAGTACCGCGTGAGGAACTCACTATACCATCCGCAAACAATTTCGTCAAGATATTGACACAGATATGCGATGAAACAATGCCAAAAAGGAAAAGATCAACTAGAAGACGACCAGTCTACTGGTGGAATGATGAAATCGCTGCACTACGTAGAGAATATATCAACAAAAGAAGATTGCATACACGAAGCATGAGGAGAAACCAACCTGAAGAAAACCAGCGGCTCTGGGAAGAGTATAAAATCAGTAAGAAATCCTTGCAAAATAGGATCGGAAAAGCAAAAAACGACTGCTGGAAACAAACATGTGATTACGTAGACTGTGATATCTGGGGAGACGGGTATAAAATTGTTATGAAGGGACTCATGGGATTTCCCCCCAGACTACAAATCGAGATATGAGCCATGGAGGAGGTGATAGGACACTTCTTTTCTGTACATCAAATTTATACCAACTCTTCTAGAATTTGAGATATCAGCACCAACTTTAGTTTTTCAAATGTAGGTCATAGCTCACTATGACTTAGTTACAAATAACTTTTTTTTCTCTTCCAGATGATATGTCGCAGTAATAGTTTTGTGTTGATAACAACGGAGTTATCGTCATTTATACAAGAACAAAAAATTATTTGGAAGCCGCCATCTTGAATTTATAAATTTTAACAAAAAAATCATGATCTCCGACCTCAAAAACCCCCACTTACCAATTTTGAATGGAATCGGACCAAATCTTGTCCGCCATCTTGGAGCAGCCATTTTTTTCAATTTCAACAAAAATTCCATAACTCTGATTGACTTGAAATTTGACAGGTGTTCATAATTTCGGTGACAATACGTTATGGAATTTTTGTTGAAATTAAAAAAAATGGCTGCTCCAAGATGGCGCACAAGATTTGGTCCGATTCCATTCAAAATTGGTAAGTGGGGGTTTTTGAGGTCGGAGATCATGATTTTTTTGTTTAAATTTATAAATTCAAGATGGCGGCTTCCAAATAATTTTTTGTTCTTGTATAAATGACGATAACTCCGTTGTTATCAACACAAAACTATTACTGCGACATATCATCTGGAAGAGAAAAAAAAGTTATTTGTAACTAAGTCATAGTGAGCTATGACCTACATTTGAAAAACTAAAGTTGGTGCTGATATCTCAAATTCTAGAAGAGTTGGTATAAATTTCAAGAATGTGAAATTCCTATTTGAATATTTTCATAAATAAAGAAGTTACGGAGGAGACATGAAAATGATCAAAATCTGTTTTTTGCGTATAAAACAAAAACGAATAGATTTTATCAAAATGTTTTTTCACATTATAGTTGGCCCTGACAAACTCCACATTTGGTGTCATTTAACCGACCTCGTATCTCTCATCGTTAAAAAGATAGCCATGGTGAGCATGGTAAGTGGGACACACTGTATAACGAACTGGCAAACAGATCATCCTTTCCTAGAGACTGAAAGCGTGCGAAATTGGCACTGCTGAGAAAGGGAGATAAACCCATTGACAACCCATCAGCTCATAGGCCAATATGTTTATTAGACGTGGAAGGAAAGGTTTACGAGCAACTTATACTTATTAAACTCAATAGAGAACTGACACGAACGGGTGGACTTTCAGAGAGACAATATGGATTCAGAGCTGGAAGACAGACAGTAGATGCTATAAACGAGGTACTAAGTATTGCCCGTAATGCAGAAGCAGGTTACTCGTGCCCGCATAGAAGTTTATGTGCAGTCCATAA